ACCATGTAGGCATATTCAATAGGTGCATAGTTCTCTCCTGCACTAGAATGAAATTGATATTTGCAAAATTTGAATTTTGCAACTTGAAAGACAAGCAACTTTTTTTCTCGAAAATTGGAACTTTTTTGTGAGACTGCCATTTTTTTATTTCTCAATATTTTTTATTCATTCTAGTACATTCATACAGAATAAGAATCTTTCTCAATTTTTGATTTGAGATAACGTAAACAGCTGATACAATGGCAGCCATAGAGGTACCATTTTTGTGGGCAATTCCGGAAAATTGCAATAACATTTATTCTGTACCACATATTCAAATGAAAAAAATTAAGCATATCCTATTAGTGTATACGAATTCATAGAAAAAAGTTTAACATCGACATACCTCATAGTTTTTTCTCAAAAAATTCCTGCATTTCGCCTAACTGTTGACTCGTCACAATAGGTAAACCCCTTAATCTTACGAAAACTTGTGAGCACGTCAGTTCAAGTACGAGAAAGAATGCTACATTGTTCAGAAACGGTTATCAACGAACGACAAAGATGAATACGCGAAAAGCAGTACAAACTAGCCGTTTCTAGAACATACCGTATGCAAGATTTCGAACTCACGGTGATAGCGAACGCTGGTATATGTCCACGAAAATAAACAAAACTGACATTATCTATCAGTGCCATTACTTTATGACAGATCCATAATAGAAGTTCGGCCGACAAATAGAATTTCAGCATAAAGCCGTAATAATTATACAAATAACGTTAAGCTGGTTCGTACCTGACTCTCTAGTCAATAAAGCATCATATTAATAATTGGTATTAAACACCCGCTAATAAATTTTAATAATGTATAAAAATTACATCTATGAAATTCAACGACATTTCCATTGATCATTCATCAATATTAGACTGCGAATTTTATGCACTTATAGCCTATAGGTCTCTGTGAAATACAATGAAGGACAAAACTTGTGTCAGATGCAACGAGTTTTCTATTTTCCTTTGAACCCAATAAGATACTTAAGGAAAGAAAAAAATTTCTACTTTTATTTTTATCTTCGTGAACAACCTTCTATAATTTGATTTTGCTTAAAAATCCGCAGTGTAATCATTATATTGTAATTAAAAAATATGTTTTGGTTAGTCGTATGCAGAGATGGGCAAACTCATCTGGATAAAAAGTTTCGAGTAACGAATAAAAAATTTAAAAAAGTATTTAGTCATTTTTAATTGTTTAAACGTGGAAATATAAATTTTTATAATAAAATATTTCTTTCTGAATGAATCGATATTTGTCGAACAATTATTTAATCTCATTGACTGTTTAAAAAGCTCAAAACGACACCCTTAGATACTGCTGCTTTTCTCTGTGTATTATTCGAATAAAATTATGCCCAACTCTGGTCGTTTGACTCCACGGTGCTCGTTTCTGGTACGTTTGGCAACGTTTTGTTTGCACGGATATACGTGGTGCGTATTCAGTTTTCCCGCGTAGTCAATATTCAATATTCAATATTCTTACATGTAAAGTTAATTATATTTTTGTGCATTATAATTTTGAAACTTAGAATTCACTAAAACATAAAGTAAGTAAAATATTTTTTAAATGTATTTGTATTTCGCGGGTATGACCCTACTTCAGCAACATTGCCAAGTCCTCCACAGAGTCCCAATACTTTACATATCCTGGATTTTATTGTCAAATATCTTCCTGGAATGTTCGACATGGTGCAAGATTTAGTTCATTATCAGAAAGCTCAAGATTTATACTTTTAGTACCTAGTTTTTAGTTAGCAATTCTAATTTTTGTGAATACAAAAGATTATATTTTCGGTAAGAAATCGTAAGACTGCCATAAGAGCTGTGTTGAAAACTAAATTTTTGTCAAGCTTACTTATTTATTTGATCGGCGACCGAGTCTTAAACTTTATTGTGTGTGTATTTCGATCTAATAAACAATCTGTATGAATTTTCTTTAATTATCTAGTCTTTCGTATTTGGCACGAACCTCCTTAAATGGTATCCAGAACGAGATGTAGAATTGAAAATCGCTCGACTCGTTTCTATTGACCACGCGAAACTTGAGGACTATGGTTTCCCATTTCGAACTCTCGATGGAAAAATTTCATTGTAACGCCATTTTATTCGTTTCTACTTGAAGCGATTAAGCGCAACGACCCAGTAGCAGAAGGAAACTAGACCTCATGACTGTCCAAGTTTTCGCTAGACAGTTTCGAAAGGACGTGCTTGACAACGAGTTCTATTCACGCCACTAGGTCACTGAGAAAACTTGCTACGGCGTGATCAAAATAGATCTCACGTACACAATTGCAATCCGTTTAAAACTATCGTGAACGATGCACGGCGATGAATAATACGCCATAATGCCCGCCAAACATGGATTATTTTTCATTTTGTAACACCAGCTTTTCGCATCGGTCAAGTTTCTCTACGAATTTGCACCTGTATCGAAGGGATTGTGGATCATAGGTCACGTCACGTATAATTCGATTATGAACATACGTATACAAAATCGTATCAACGCATTTTGAATAAAACGACCTGAAAATACTCGGAATATTAAAGTACAGAAGAATCTTTTAATGTGAATTTGATTATGAAATAGGATTGATATGATCTACGACGAAAACTAAACTATTAACCTTAATATTTCCATTTTTGTGAGTATACGCCAACGCTTTCTGCAGTGAAAAGATGGGTTCCATTAAACTTTCAAAGTGAGTTTCGAAAGGCAAGATGCACATGAAAAATGTATTTAGAAAAAGTGTCCATTTCAACATACGTATATACTTTCTGAAATTATTTAAGTTGTATATAAAACATTTTTTTCTTACAATGAACCAATTATTAATCATTTGAAACTGTCGTAGTGGATGAATCACCTGTATAACATTCTTTCATAGCCAGAAGGATGCTTCTTACCTATTGAAAATTTTAAATCTTACATGCCTTTAATTTCTGTGTAATTTTCCTCTTAATAAGCTTACGTTTCGTATATTTAAAAGAGTTCGAAACAATATGAAAATGAAAAATGTGTAACTGAGTTTTATTCTTAAATAACAAAATATCACATACCTATTCAGGTAACGAGAAAAAATAAAATAAGATTCTTCACATCAACAGGACTATGTCCACAGGAATGCGAGAGGTCCGAGAGCTTTCGTAAAACCGGTTCTGTTCGTAAACGTCATTTGACACATTTCTTGTGAAAGACTATGAACCACTCCAATGTACATATATTGTAAATAACGAATAAAAAATAAGAATAAGCTTTCACCTGATTTCCAAAAGACAAAATTCACAACTGAATATATCATTCGCTATACGACGAAGAACCAATTAACTTATCTATTGTCTGTGAATGTAAACAGATTCTAATTATCAGAAATTCGGACTAAATATGTACTGTTTTATTATCAATGTACATTCTTTCCCATACCAATACTCGCTCGATTAATAATAAATTAAATAATTATCATGAAAAATGTGAAAAATTATCATTTTAGTTTATATGTCGAAACTGTATACTATTTCGATAATATTCGCAACTTCTAAATCCTAAATGATTTTTTACCAAATTTATTCGTTTCATTATACGCTATAATTTTATATGAACAACTAGCTATATGTAATTAGTTATTATGTTAAATGTAGAATGTTTAGAATCACAGTCACTGCGGAAATTTGAGCATTGCGAAACTTTGTTTAAGTTTGGTGTGCCTTTTGTATATCATTTTCCATTGTATAGGATAATGATTGTTTTTCGAAATAAAATTATTAAACATTAAACAGACTTTTCTTTAAGAAAGCACAAGTGCATTATATGTTCAACAAATGGCATTCAAGAGACGGTGATACATACAATATTCAAGCAAACATTATTTTGCTTTTTTATATACACAAGAATTAAATCTACATTTTATAGGAAACAGATACCTACTGAATATCATATCTAGTCACGATCTACTAAAAATTAATAAAATAATTCATTGGACGACATTCTCCATTATAAAATGTTGTGCACAAAAGTTTAATTAATAAAATACACATGTGTTTAGAGTACAACTGCACTACATGAACTAATGTTCAATATCATAACAAACTCGGAACAGTTTTCACGTATATTACTATTAAATGGCTGTAATGCTTTTACACTTCTTGTGTTATATGATGTGCGAAGTACACATTCTATTATTACAACACGTCAATAATCTTTTCTGTTCAACGTATACACGAACCGCATGTAATAATGCAAATTGATATTTACCAGAGAGGGAGAGCTTGCGCTCGTATAAATACTCCGAAAATACACGAAAACCAAAATAGTTCCCGTAATTGCTTAAACCGTATGTATATGAATAGCATAAAAATATAATTGTACAAGACACAAATACGCAACATGTATGGATCCAATTTTTCATTTTTCTCGGTCACTATTCTTTTAACACTTGGTTCGTTTCAGTTTCACTGACAATAATCCCCCCCCCCCCCCCCCCCCTTAACCAAATTGTGTCAAGATTTCAAGTCACAGATATTCATGTCGACTTACACCGTGCAAGTTAATATCCTTTTCTTTTTCGATCCGATGTAGCAAATTGGAAAAATAAAATGACCTGCACGAAGAGCAGACCGGGACGCGCAACACGTGACACATCGAGATAGGATGTTTGCAAGCAGTCCGTTACCGATTATGGCAAAGTGCGAGGCAACGAGATCTCCTCTCTCGTGGTATCAACGGTGTTCCTCGGCGTTGTGTTCTTTTCTTTTTTTTATTTCACTTACACGACCATAGTAGTGGAACTCTTAAGATCTCGGAAACCGTGACGAAAGTTTCGCGGTTATATAGAAGACATGCTTGAACCGAACACGATGCATCTCTATAGGCGTTAATCATGCAGACTACACTAAGGCGTGTCACGAACCAAGTGATGCATTACTGAAGACAATGTAGAGAAGATATTAGTGGATTAATGGTTGCTTACCTTCGTCTAGTAGGCGCTCTACATGTATGAAGACATTAGGGAAAGCAGCTAACTGCTTTCTGTCTTTTAGTAACTGTGACAAGTAGTCCGCTATACTCTGCGTCGTCGTGTTAGTATTATCACACATTGCAATTACTTGATTACTCCTATGGCGGTCACGCGAAAATAGAAAAAAAGATGGACAAAAATTGTGTCGCAAGTAAAAGGGAGACGAAGAGAGAGAGAGAGAAAAAAAAAGAACGTTAAACGTGAAATTAGCAAGAGACAGACGGCGGTTGCGATCAAGATCCGATACAACGGTGGTTCTTTCACGTTTAGTTTTGCACAACGTTAACGTAAATTTCAATCCGTTATTCACAACTGTATCACTTTGCTTTCTTTATCCTCGCACAATTAATACAACTCGATATTCGTACGTCGCGCCTCCTCACTCGTGGTTTTTCTCTGGCGCGCTCCTCGCATACGTCGCCACGATTGCGTTACGTTTTTAGAAATAGCGGAGTCAGTATACTATGTGTTAGGAGAAGGAGGCGGTGAGGTGAAGAACGATGTGGAAAAGGGGGGAGAGAGTGACAGTGAGAGGGGGGGGGGAGATAAAGAGAGAGAGAGAAGTAGGAGTGAGAGAAACGAAAAGGACTGGAATGGGCAGGAGAGGGAGGAGGAGGAGGATGGGAAATGAAGAGAGAAGGGGCAGAGAAAGAGAGAGGAGAGGAGAAACGGAAAAAACAAATGGGGAGAGGGAAAGGCAAAAGAATTAGACAACTGAGAGATAGAGGAGAGAGAAAAAGAAAAGGAATAAGAGAGAGGGAGAGAGAGAGAGAGAGAGAGAGAGAAAAGAGAGAGAGAGGAGAGAATAAAGAGAGGATACACAGCCTCTCTCACGAGTCGGGTTCTATTGTTAAAAAAGTTAGATCGTAGATCGCGAAATTAAAAACAAACACGCGCTGCGGGATTCTAGGCTCTACTGCATCACCCGTGCATGTGCGGCGACAAACTACCCGTGGATTTCTGAGTCGGACGCATGCGCAGCATTTATTATGCGCATGCGCCTCCCACGTATTAGTTCTTGCGTGTCTCTACGGCGCGCTTCTACCGCCCACTACCATATACGGCCTCTGCGTACGCGCGAATACTGAGGTACACGCCATACCATCGTCGCATACAAGTTGGATAATTCAGGGACGCGCTCATCTGATAGTGTGCCCTGCATCTTACGTTTTCGTAAGAAACCTCCTTTCTTTTCAGACTTTTTATCAGCAGAATATATTAAGTGTGTACAAAACTAAGGGACGTTTTTTTGTCTGAAATATTTATTAATGCTAAATAACTGATATAGTATCTGTTACTTAAAAAGTTCTCCACGTTTTCTATAACTTTGCTTACTTTCTACCAACAGTTGAATTCCCCGTCGATAATATAAAACGAATCGTCACTTTTACATTTATCAAATAGTTTCCTGAATATTTCGTTATTGAAAACACCTCAAAAGGTTTACCGATACTAATTTATATGTAAAAGTAATGATTCGTTATATATTAATGAACAACGAGATCTATGGTTTTGGCTGCCCTTTAAAATTTTTTTCATCCTATTTATGCTGCATCTGTGTGTAAGAATAGTTTAACAAAAATTAGCTGACTCGTTAAGAAAACTCGCCAGCACCATATTTAAATTTCAACGTACAGTTATTATTTCGAAATCCACTGGAACTTATTTCCTGTGTAAATTTTACGAACACAAAAAACTGCATGTAGCAACTGAGTTGTGGAATATGTACACGAAGAAATGATTATAAATACACAATGTGTACTAAAATAAAGTACACACGTATTATAATGAATTTGCAACAAAAGAAGTAAGTAATGTCTCGGAACTTAACTAATTATCTAATGAACACTGGCAATCTTGTAACTAGTTTTGACGATGCATTGATGTTTAACTGTAATAAGTAGACTGCAGATTTGATGTATTTATAGCCTACAGGACTCTGTAAAATACAGTAGAGGACAAAACTTTCATCAGATTCAATAAGTTTTTTTACTTTATTCGGAACCCAATATGATACTTGAGAAAAGAAAGAAATTCCTACATTTCCTCTTCTCTGTATGAATTGCTGTGAACAATATTATTTTGTATAAAAATCCGCAGTCTAGTAATATCTCATATGTACACGAATTTACAAACGTTTGAGTTCGTAACGAGTCATGAATTTTTTATTGTTTTTTTGAAATTTAGAACGATTTACCATGTATGTACGTATTAATAAATCTATTGTCAGTATTGATGGTAGTATTCAGAATGTTTATAAACAAGGAGAAATAACAGTCCGTAGAAAGATTTGTGCAACAGTTTATGTAATTACACAATAGTACGGAAAATTTGTGAAAGTAACTTTTCCAAACTGTTTATTTTATATTTTCTCAATCGTTACAGACACTTATGTGGAAACATTGCCAAATATAAAAAACATATTCCAATAGTTAATTGCAGGCAGTAAAAAAAAGTGATTAAATCAAATCATAGAAAACTGTATCTTCTTCTCAAACATGGAAAATATGATCAAATACTCCTGTAATGATACATAGTCATTATTTTATTTCTAACTCATTCATAATACAAATATCTTACTGGAAATGAATGACCTTTTTTTCTTTAACTATAATTCCTATCCCCCATCTTATTTTCCACACTGTTATTTTGCAATTAAATAACTATCGCATTCTAAGGAAACAGACAAAACCATTTTGGATACAGTAAATAAAAAATAGTAAAAGAGTACAGATATTTATAAATTTTTCGAAAATTCTCAAAGTATTACAAGTTTAATGGTACTTTCCTATCATTTTCTGTCAGTTTATATACATATTTTAGTGTTATTCCTCGTGAGATTCGGTATAAGATAAAGGATAAAAATTATATGAGTGACATACTTTATTAAGTGCATTTAGTACAATCTTTTTGGTTAACTTTTTTAGCATTTCGTACAATTACTTGAATAATAGCTGAATGAGGATTAATCCTAGATTACCGTTTTCTTATGGAAGGAATAGTGAATCTAAGTGTTTGAATAGTTTTAAACAAATTAATAATTTTTTGAACATACATTTGACAAAAGGAAAATTAGTAAAATATGTATATGTAATTGCTAAGGTATACTATTGAATTAGTATTAATCTTTACGTAAAGAATCTAAATATTGACAAATTATTATATTCTAAACGTACCTATATAGGTACATATATATGTATAAAGTTCTTACACCGGTTACCTCGGTGCAACATGATCAACTTCACTATGATCTGGAAATAGTATACTTTAGAATGTATAATTAATAATTCCACCTACTTTTAATTTGCTGCAACTCGAAGTATCGGATTATGAATTCAAAGTACACACTAAAGGATATGTCAATAACTAAACACTAATGGTGAGTAATCGCGAACCTTCATTACTAAAAATTTTCCAATTTTAATAAATCGAATGATATACAAAGAGGTGGATTTTTTAATTATATTATTTCTTAACTGATATTTTCGCAAGATACTTCATTTTATCAACCAAGTTTATAAATATTTTAACCCAGATAGCACATGACGCCTTAAAGATGCCTATTTTACGGCTATTTTAGGTTTAAGGCGTTTTTAAGCCGTATTCAAGACGTTATGTGCTATCTGGGATGAGACCCAGTTTGTTTGTTTCGGAAATTTATTAATTCTGTATTTGTTCACATATTGGGCATATGAAATAATTAACCCACTGTTCACCATGTATACATATACATGTCAATAATAAAAAATAAGACATCACATAATCGGAACTAACATTCGGACACAATAACATAACTATGAAGTAGCTCCAAGATTAAATCTCTATTATTCAATAATATACAACTAGTAAATCTTACAGTCCATCACACGATAGTTATGAAAATGATTATACACTTACCATTTTGGAGGTATTTGTAATTTAATCGAACCACTTTAAGAATATACTGCAACGTATTTCATAAATGTGTGCTTGCTCAGACGGTTCATTGATTTCAACGCTAACGTGCAGATAAACAACAAATATGTACACGGTTAGTTACGAAACAAAACAGCATCGCTATGACATTCAAGAGTTCTGTAACTAAGATAAGCTGAAGTCTCTTATTAGGCAACTTTACCCTATACAATATACAGTATACAGTGTGTCACAGAAGTATTCGTATCGTCCCAATTGTCAACTTCAAAGGGTTGACGTTTCTTTGAAACAGAATTTTCAAAATTTGTATGAATGGGATTATATGTTGTACGAATTGAGCTTTCGGTTGATATAAAATAGAATTTAGGAAATATTTTTTTTACATAACTTTTAAAAAAATATACTTGTATGTACAGATTAAAACTACTTAAACATACTTTTATATACATATAAAAGTAAACACAGCAGTAATTAAATAATATTAAATTAATAAGGTCGACCATATTGTGTTTGCACCCGGGCGGCCAACAACCAAGGAACGGCCCTGTATACACATAATACATACGTTACACACCCACAAGGTCCAGATATAAATCCTATCGATCACTCATGGGCCGAAATGAAAAAAAAAGGATCAGAAACTATGCAATAACAAATAAAGAAATGTTAAAACATGGACTGTTGGATATTTCGAACAGTATACTATACATTAGTATATGGGCGTAACATGGTTATCAGTCGGGAAGGGGGGGGGGGTAACAAAAATATTAACACATCGATTATTTTACACACTTTATTTTGTTTTTAAAGTCATAAATCGTTGAAAATGTATGCGTTTTGTTAATAGAGCCTGTTGGTCGTGTTTCATATTATACTGCAATATTAAATATTACGCAAACAATTTGTAACTCTGGGAAGGGAGGGAGGGGGGGGGGCAAAATCCAATTTTTTTCCTTGTACGGTGGAGCAAAAGCCAGTTTTTTCACTGCCTCCCTGGCTACGCCCATATGTCTTTATATAAGTATATTCGAAGAAAACTTATTCTGTGTTGATGTATAACATGTTATTTCTTTATACTACCTATTTTTAATTCCAATCTATGTATCTCCGAAGATAAAGAATACGCACCCAGATAGCACATGACGTCTTAAAGACGTCTATTTTACGGCTATTTTGGTCTAAGACGCCTTTAAACTGACTTCAAGGCGTCATCTGCTATCTGAGCTGTAATTTCTAAATAATTATTTTGGTTCTTAACTTTTGTCAGCAATTGTATGTATTTTGTATTTTTCATATGAATTTCCAATTTATGCAACATATGTATGAGAATTGTTGAATAAATTCCGTCCTTTCAAGGTGTACACTCACTTTTGACTCTCGCTGTATGTATCTAGGCTAGGCCTCGGAAGGGTTTACCGAGAAAACCAGACCTTAATGAAATTTTCTATGCATTTATGCGTTGTGTGGGTAGGTTAATGTCGAAGTGTGTTTTAAGTGAAGTCGAACAAGAATGATGGGGCGTTTTTTGCTTTCGCAGAAGTTTCTCGGAACACTATTTTTAAAACGATATACAGGATAACTGTTTCTATCCTTATGTATGGGATCACGAACGATCTTTTATGTATTTTATTTCAACTTATTTATTAAAAGTAAGCAGTCAGTACCTACCACATTAGAAGTGGACTTTCAACTATAGTAACACAGATCTGACAAAAAGAACTCTTTTTTTTTTTTCATTCGAGAAATTTTTGGTGCTTATTGTGGATTTTGAAATCCGAATCTAGCAACCGATTTGAAAACTGCAGTTTTGGGTGAAAAACCATATTATATTAAGGCAAGTTATTTACATATTAAAGAACTAACTGCTGCATTAATTTATAAAGAATACATAACCCTTTTGAACAATATAGCATAAAATCCGCAATCTAGTAACGACCAAAAAGGAATCCGTCGATATATTCTCCCTTCGTTATCCACTGTATCTCATTTCTCAAATTGAGAAATG